AGGGAGATCAGCTCGGTTCTTTGTGCCCGCCTGAGGGGGGGGATAGGGGGGGGGGGGGGGGGGGGGGCGGAAGGGCAGCCTGCTGCCCAGAGGGTGGGTGGAAGGGCGCTGCCAGGGTGGGGAGGGGGCCTCTTTTCTCACCCCACCCATTCTCCAGAGGCCCCTCCTCCTGGGCAGCACAGGGGCCAGGTGGCACATAACTCTTTCCAGGGGCAGCCCCAGCTCAGGAGTGGGAATCTGCTCATCCCCAGACAGGGCGAGGGGCAAATGTGGGGAGAGGGGGCAGCTGCTCTCTGTCAGCAGCTCCTCCCACCACCGCAGCTGTGAGCTGAGGCGATTGTTGAAAGAAATGTGTACCCAAACCCCAGAGCTCACAGCTCTAGGGCAGCTTTCTGGACCAGGGAGGTGGGGGAGGGGCTTTCAACCAGCAGGAGCGGGGCCGGGGCAGGGGGCGGTGCCCGTTAAGGACGAGAATTCCAGCCACTGTTTCTGCATCCTTGTAACAGGCCCCTGGGCTCAGACTTCAGTTCCAATATTCTTGGAAGCTAGAATTTTGAGAGATGGGGCCTCTGATGAGCTCATCTGACAGATGAGGAGACTTAGGCTAGATGCTCAGCTACATATGCTGCACCTCAGCCGCCCAGCTCCGGAGCCCGAGGTCCTAACCACAGGGCCAGGGGAGGCCCGCTCTCAGCTGGCTCAGGACCCCCATGGCAGTGGGTTCTCTGGCACAGAGTCTGTGAGGGATCCAGCAGGGGTGTCTAGTGCAGAGGCTCTTGGTGGCCTTGCAGGGGTGAGTGCAGGCCTGTCCCCTGAGGTCTAACTGGGGGCTCCCAGCTGCACAAGCTCAAGTCCACGGGGGCGGGTTCTGCCTCCCCTGCCTGTGCCCTATAACCTTCCCATACCCAGAGGAGGTGACCTCATGCTCCCCGCTGCGAAGGTTCGGGGATGAGAGTGGCAGGGAGCGGGGGGCGAATGGGCCGAGGCCCAGCGAGAGAGGAAGGATGGCACGCTGTGCAGAAAGCCAGTGCCACTGCAGTCCTGCCCCGGGTGCCCAGCCCAAGGCAAGGCGGGGTGGTCTTTCACTGGCAACTCACTTTCTGATACCCCACACAGTACAGGCCAGGAATGACTTCCTCCTTCTTGATGGAGAAACAGGCCGCACCTGCCTGTGGTCACCCAGTGGCACCTCCTGCCCCCCAGCCTGCCTGCCTGGTGTCTCCCCAGGGGGTATTTTTTGAGCATAGCTGAGCTTTTTAGAAGAGGGGCCCAGACCACCGGGCAAGGGGACGAGCAGGAAGGAAACTTGAGAGGCTCTGGGCCAGGAGGACAATCCTGGGGACCCCCTGTGGATCCCTCTGCAGCCAGACCCTCCACACCCCTACTCTGGGGCGGGCCAAAGGGAGAATGGAGGCTCAAGGGGGCCCCAGGTGACTGGGGGGCAGAGTCCTGGGAAGGAAGCCAGCACCCATGGTGTCGATGTCGGCCCTGTCCCAGGGGCGGCTGCCCGAGGGGCGCTGGTTCCGATCCAGGTGCTACTTGCCCAGGTTCTCAGTGACTTATGTGAGGGTTGTGAAAGGGTAAAACTCACTGGGCAAAATCAACATCTTTGCAGCTCCTGATGCCAAGGTGTGTGTGCGTGCGTGCGTGCGTGCGTGTGTGTGTGTGTGTGTGTGTGTGTGTGTGTGTGTGTGTGTGTAGGGGCAGGAGCTGCAGTTTGCTCTGTGACACCTGTTGGCTTGGCCTCCTCCCTGCCTTCTGCCACCCCCTCTCCCAGTCACAGGCCTCAATGTCTCATTCTTGGCCAGCCACCAGGGTGGAAGGGCTCCAGGACACACGGAGGGGGCAGGGCAGGGGGCTCAGCTGTGATCCCCTACGCTAACCAGCAGAGTGACTTTGACCTTGGGCTGAAGATCTTCCTCATTAGTTAAATCAGGATCATTATCACCTTGTGTTGTTGATAAAAGATAGTATCATTAAAGTGCTTAGCCTAAAGCTCTTACCTACGTTTGGCACAGGGTAAGAGCTCAATGAAAGAAGAGTTAATCCAGTGTTAACCCCCGTTAACTGTCCTGTTAGCTGTCCAGGGGGATCTGGGCAGGGGGTTCTGCAAACCCCTCAAATCACACTAGCTCAATCTGGTTCCCAGGACCCTGGCCCCCTAATGGGAAGCCCTGCCAAGGACACAGTGAAGGAGCAAAAGAGGTCGTGGGACAAATGGAACAGGTGTGCCCAGAAGCCAGGAGCAGTGGGCGCTCCGTCTACCTCTACTGGGGTAGCTTCCGAGCTGGCTGGGTTCCAGGAAACAGGGAGAGACATGTAGGGCGTAGTGTGGGGTAAGGAGATACAACCTGGTTTCTTGTCCCACAAGGAAACTTGGGTCCTGCCCAAGAGGTGATGCAAGGTATGATTCAGAAATTGTTCCAATAAAATCCCATGCAGAGCTCAAAAGTCAGATGATACTGCACCTCTAAGCAGGGCAGGGCCCCCCGGGCTTGCTTCCGGGCCTTTTCTCCTGTCTTTTCAGAACTCTCCGCCCTCCACTCTCTGCCCCAGCACCCCCATCCCAGTTTCCCC